AAATCACTTCAGAACTGTTACAGCATGGTGTAGAGCCTATATAAGCAATGGGAAAAGCAAGATTGAAGAGATTTCTAGGTAAAAACTAAAATTTGAGAAAGGTGCTTTTCCTTTCTCTTACAAACAAAGAAAATACGACTGCTCTGCCTCCCGATATGATACGGTTAACTTAATGTTTCTACTATTCATTTAGGCATTTCTGTTGAAGGATTTAAATGGATATTTGTAACAAACCAAATATGGAACACTTTTAAAATAATAGTTTGTTTATTTATTTATTACAGTGTTGTGTAAATTCCTCCCTGCTTTTTTCTCATCCAGTTTAATCCTTCCTATTTTTATCCAGCATTCTCAAGGAAACCTTGCTGGTCGTAGCTGCTCTTGGTATCTGTCAAGGTGGAGGTTAATGACTCAAGTGGAGAAAATATTCTAAATGCCATGGGAGACTTACTGGTTTGTTTTCACTACAGGCTACTACTTGATAAGTCACAGTGCCTGTGTAGTAACAGTTAGTGGCAAGCATAACACCTGGTTGTCCAAGTCACAGGCAGGGCCATGTTGGGTTATACACTCATAGCAAAAAGGTGTTCCCTGCCCCTCCTGTTATTTATGTGCTTGTCTCTTGTTTTGAAGACCTTTTAGGTTTTCTGAAAAGCTTGCAGACTTTTTCTGTTTTAGCATGAGCATCTGTTGTTCCTGTCTGTGCGGCAAGAATACTCATCTAGGACCTTTTAAATCATGTAATCCAGCTGGAATATCCTCAGAGGATGTATTAATTAAATTGATCATCCAAGGGATATCTGCATCCTAGAATCCCATCCTGGATGGGTAGTGACCTGCTATGCCCAACCGTGGCCGGAGCAGTTATATTCCCTCGGGCCTGATAGATGTGTGAAGGATCTGCTTGTAACGAGGCTGTGGCTGAGGCTTTTGCTGCTCCTAGCAAGCTCCCCTCATCGCTAACCTGAATCTTCCAGGGCTGTGATTCCAGCCTGTTACTGCTTAGCCTTGGTAGATCAGACACGGTAATTATTCCATTTTTCTCTGAAGCTGCCTTTTATGTATTTGAAGATGTACTGCCCTGTCAGCTGCCTTTTTGTTAGTCACTTCTGTTCTCTTAGTTGTTCTGGACGAGTCACTGCTTTTTTCTTTTTCCTCTTATTCAAATTTGTTGCCTGCCTTTGCAACTTTTCCAAATGTTCTTATTGCTTTCTAGAAACACGTAGTTTAGAGCTGGACAATGTAAGCAGCTGAGGTCTTACAGAAGCCCAGAGGAATGGCCTGGTTGCTTGTGGTGCATTGATCCTGCAGAGCGTTTCTGCCTACCTGCTTCTTTCCAGGCTGTATCTGTGTAGTTGATTTCTGTCCAGCTATTGCGCTTTTTCCCTTGTGTCTATATATATATGCTTTTTTTAAAAAAAATTGTTTGACAGCATCTTGCCAGGTGAGTGTTAACTACTCATTTAGTAAGGATTCCCTAATTCAAGTTGCCAGTTAAAATATTGAGTATCACTGGACCTGGGATAGACTTGACAAAATTCTACTTGATATATTTTTTCCTTTTGGCAATTAAATCTTATATTTTTTTTCTTTCTAATTTGTTTTGCAATTACAGTAGAATAATTCCATCTTACCTGTCTCTTTGTCGTTTGGTTAAAATAATGTTGCGTACTAAAAGCATCGTGTAAGATACGTGAATGATTGCTGCCTGCTCCTTGCAAATTCATGTGAGGGTTTTTATTTCACTCTGTTCTTAAAATGCCTTGTGATGCTGGAAAACAGTTACAAGCATAAATTAGAGCATTGGATAAGCATTAAGGACTACTGAGGAAGGTATTTGTTTTTATATCA